GTTAAACAATTTTCAGTACTGATGCTATTGGTGTCTATATTCAATGCTTTGTTCGGACGATTTATTCTAAAATATTAGGTATAGTTCTGTTTGAGGAAATGAAAAAAAAAAGGATTTTGAAATTCATTCTACAACGAAAAACTTAATCATTGATACAATAAAAATATGTGAGAAATAAACTCATCATAGATATCAGGCTTAAAATATTGTAAGCCAGACGCGCGTTTCGTCTACAAAAGACTCATCAGTGACTCGAATCATAAAAAAATTATAAAAAAAAACACAAATGAATTACGAAGTTGAAGAGCATTGAGGACCCAAAAATCATTTTTCCATTTAAATTCAATACGAAAACATTTAAATTACCATAAAACAGGATACTCGTTGTGGTATACGGAATATCATTTAAAACATGTATCTTCCAAAAAATACTCTTAATTGCAAAACGCAAGCAAAATGATGCTAATATGAAATCTTGTCGCCCTACAGTCTAATTTCTGTGGACTTTTGAGTTGATTTCTTACAGCAAATCCATAAAAAGTTTAGATAGACACGTTAGTGATGGTCTAATGTGTTATGTTGTATTTCAAAAGTCTGGCGAATCCTCGGGGCGAACAGATCGGTATGAAAGAAGTAATAGTAATGGTTAACATCGCAAACCTGTATTCTGGAATCAAAGAGGTATTGCACATGAAGGTGGTGTCTCCCGATGACAACATTCAAAAAAGATAGATGCTTTAGAATCAAGGGGACGAGAAATTACAGTTCAGTAAGATATAGGTATTAAACAACTAAAATATTATATTACTTGCAAAATTACTGTTTGGAAAAGTAATGTATTTACCACAAGACCGACCATTAATTTGGCACCAATAGTCAAGAATAAACAGGCCAACACAATTATGAATCTTCAAGTTAACAAACCAGATTAATAGATGAGATACTAACAGGGCTGGTTAAATCGCGTGTACCAGTTATCCGAAATGATATATCCACTATGTCGATAAATTGTTGAGTCTATAAAAAGTTCTGTATGATAAGACTTGGAATATTTAGCTGTTGAATCATCGCAAACATCTTATACAAAATGACTTAAGCACTACTCCCTTGAACAGTGAATACCCGGACTCTTAATGTCAAGAATTATGGAGGTAATGGCCATCGAGTTGCTAAAATCTTTTGGCTTACAGTCCTAAATGTTATGGGGGAAGTGACCGCTGAACTTGCGAATACTCGTTACAATCGGTAATTATATTTTGATACTAGATACACCGGTGAACCAATGGGTACAACAGTACAGAATGGTATGAGGTATTGATCAATAGAGTGAGTTAATGCATCTCTACCTCCAACAGCCTATAACGCTAAAAGCAGTGTCCAATATACAAATAAATCTTTCAAGCCTGATCCCGAAAAGAGTATTATCCAACAGACTATTTAACCTGTGTGGACTAACTAGCCTGGAATTATACAGGTATTGACTACTAGATTGAATAATTCTTTACCTATTTGAATAAGATAGAAATATGCATTGATCATCAAACTTGCAAATCTTTGTAGATTAAATAAACAAACGCGTAGTGCATTATTATCGGTTTTGACTGTAGTCCAGTTCTCTACATCATCATTAGTGCAAAATGAAAACTTTGTGAGCTAATGTCCGTCTATTCTACCTTTCTTCTTTTATTCATCGTTTTGCCTGTATTTCTCAGACTCGTGGTATTTGATTACCACTTGGTCTCTTCTTAATGTTTTTTGACTTGTTTGAAAGGGTAAAAAGCCGTACAAATTCTCAAAGTATAAAAATTGGAATAAAGCTTAAATCATTATATAGATAAAGGCAATAGTAGTATACCCTGTTCAAAAGTCATAAATCGATTAAGAGGAAACAAATCCGGGTTACAAACTAAAACCGAGGGAAACACATCAACTTTAAGTGGAAAACAACGGAACAAAAGAAACACTGAACTGCAACAAAAACAAACGCCAACATACATAGAAACGTACTATTTGATAACAACTGCCATTTTCCTGACTTGATACAGGACATTTTAAGAAAACAATGGTGGGTTGAACCTGTTTTTATGGCTAGCCAAACCTCCCGCTTATATGGCAATGATAAATATACCGCTAAAATGACAACACTACGTGACATGAATACAGTACAAACAAACGTAAGAGCACTCAGCACAGAGAAATACATAAATAAATAATATAATAGTACATTACATGTTAACCGCAGAATAACAACGGACACCTTCCATGAATTTACGACAATACAGGACACAAAAACGAAGTATAAACTGCGTCACACTAATTGGTCACCGCCACAAAAAGTGACGTAATTTTGTGACGTCACAGGTAAATTTCTAAAAATTAAATAGATCAGTTTTGTTCATAACGTACACGTACGAGAATATTAAATTGGGATAATGTTAGTAGTGGTGTTTTTTAATGTATATTCTAACCACGACAAGAATATTAAAATGGAATTGTGTTTGAAATGGTGTTATTATATGTATTTTCTAACCATGTCGGGTTTTCTTCTAAATCAAAACTGTGTATATAACACAGGAACTACAAGTGTCGTAGCAAATGCTTGACATTACATCTCAACGTAGTCGTTGTTGAACAAAAGGGGTGACAAAATCTTATTTTGCATTACATTTTATTCCATCCTTGAAGCATTATATATATGAAGGTGTGGAAACCTGTTTGATAAACAGAATGGTAAATATCAGAGATTTTTGTTTGGTTTTAGATGATTTTAGATACAATATGGCGAGTTTGTATAAGTTACTATTGAGTCAATGATATAATTCATCAATAATTGACTTTAGGATTGTATTGTTTATCCCTTATGTCATAAAAAGTCTATCTTTACAAGAAAAAGTATTGATAACTAGAGTTTTTACTACTTAATTATCATCAGAAGTCATATTCTCCCAAGAGAACCTCAGTCATTTTCATATTGAAAGATCCATTCTAGGGTTGAAAGAACATGAGCATTTTGAAAAATTTTCTCTTGAAGAGTATATGAATTTAAATTTGTATTTGTTGTGAGGACCTTTCCAAATAAATTCTACGATACTTTCATCGGAAACATTTCTTTTGTTATTCCCAAAAGCTGTAACTCGTTTTATATACTTGACTACCCCTCCTTTTATCAGTTTTCTCATTGTTTCTCTTAAACCATGTACGTGAAAAGGTATTAAACTAACAATTTATTTAACCTGATTCAGGAATAAACATATCAACTAAATTTGTTTACACAATCAATTGTCATGGGATTACTCAATACAGTGACAAAAATGGCTTAATCTTTATTCTTATGATTTTTTTTTATAGAGTGAATTTGATAATCGTAACTCGAAAGAATTATGCAGAAAATATCAATTTAAGTTCTTTATGAGGTCATTATTTTACATTTGAGGGCGTCGGAAGAAAAGAGTTAAAGTTGGCTTAATCTAAATCTCGCAGACATCTTTACCTCACATTTTCTTCCGGTACACTCTAATTCATATAATGGCATCTTACAGTGTTTTACTATGACAGAAATTATCAGAATCTTTTATTTTACCTAAAAAACATCGGTAGAGGTTGATATGCATAAACATTTAATTGATGTTAATGTCTTGTTACACATTTAATATAACATTTAGATATATGAACCGGTGTGAGAAATACAACTTATAACTGTAGAGCTACTGATGGTAAAAACATTTTTAACAGGTGCGTGTCAATCAATTATCTTACGATTTTTATAAGAATAATAACAAAAAAATAATGAAAATGTCAAATCTAGACCTCATATTTATATTTAAGTATAATACTTTTTCCTCACTCTACTTCTCAATTTGTTACCGTACCTCTGTTCTTTATTTTTATTATAAATGAATGACACTTAAGGTGTTAAAACTTCTTGTATATAAAATGAAAATATTTTTTACTAGAAACCATATCAATGAAATCATGACAATGTAATAATTGTTTAAAAGTCATCCAATGAATCTGTTATTAAAATAGTTAAAACAATTGTTATATCACTGCAATCAACTAGGTAAAATTATTTAATTGTATTTAGTACCCTTATTGTATCTCGCTACACATAGAACTTTGTACGCTGAAATTATTTTGGGCGTAACACCAACACAAACAAACATAAAGGCAGACATAATCGTTGGTTTTGTATCCTTAAATAATATTGATATATCATTAAGCTTCACATATAAAATCAGTAACAATTGTTACCGTGAGAATTCGACTTTGGTATAGAATTAATTTTATTTTTTTGCACTATGTTTTCCTTAATTTAGAATGTGAGCAATGACACAAATATAAAGAAATAAAACATAATAAGGATTCAGGTTGAGTAGTTAGTATCCGATTTTTTCATTTATTTATGCCCTAAGGTTAAAATTCCATCATTTAATACTTTAAAACATAAAAGCTTTTGTTTCAGGGTAAAAGACGTTTTAATATAAAACATAACATCATCATTAGAGAAGGCAAAGTGCCTCGATCAAAATACATCGTTTAAAGGTTTCTTGTGAAATGAAGCATTGCAGATGTTTTGTTACAATAAATTGACAAATATTAATTTTTTGTGAACTCTGAAGTCGAGTAAAATAATATTTTTTGTTGCACATGTCCTGTATTATGTGACAGAAGCTACAAAAGAAAATCTTATACTTAAATGTTGAATAAAGTTATATGAGTTTGACTGTCCCTCTGGTATCTTTCGTCCCTCTTTTATGCAAAGTATTCTGAAGTATTATATTCTGTATAATTACATCAAATCTTATATACATGTTGTTTTAGACCAATTGCCTATTCACCCAATATCGTTTAAATCACCCAAAAATAATATTTTAAACATTTCTGAAATTTAACAACAACAATATCCATAAAATAATATTAAAATTGCATTCACCAACATCTAAGACAAGTTTAAACTAAATAAATTTAAACACAAAAGGACATTAAAGTAATTTACTCACAACACTGTCTTCATCTGTGTCTTCACAGTTCGGCACTGCACATGGGATATTAATTTCAAAGAATCAATAGTGTCCAGTGAAACGGACATAAGACAAGGTATCTTTACCTATCCATCACTCAATCACGAATATATTGTCTGTGTTTAAGGAAAAGGTTATTTGTATGGTGAATTCATATTAACGATCAATATCACAAACTTTTATTTCAAATCGGATTTTGCGTTGATAGGCTGGACCTATAGCGTAATCGGATCCTGATACTGGAGTCATTGTTTCCAACTCAGAGAGCCAACCGCATGCGTTGTAAATGATTCGAAAAAGGAACAGATGTTGTGAATAATTAGTAGTAACAAACTTATATGATTTTTTACAAGTGCAAGAAGGACACATAGTTATGTTAATTAATGAGAGGCAATGAACAATGATTGTCGATAATTTGAATCTTTTGAAGTTCAAAGGTTACACGTGAATGCTTCATTCCTCTACTCGTTGAACGTTAATTTGTCTAACCGGTGGTTCGTCATAAGTTCTGACTATTTACGACGCTAAAATGGAAGCAAATCACTTCACTAAGGTAAGGAAAGCTTATAAAATCTTGTTTTTTTTCAAAATAGGGATACAAAAAAGGTCTCATGACTATTCATTAGAATTTCTGTTCAAAGTTCTTTTAAAAATTATTTTCTTAAAGTGTTAATATTGGTTTTATATGTATCTTTTCATGTTAAGATTTGTGTTTGACTTAGAAACTAATCAGAACGGCCGGTTGGATGGAAATGGAAATGTAAAGATAAGTAGATAAGAAGTATTAACAATGATGTGCCATATAGCCTAGGCTTAAGATTTTGTAATTACTATTATGGTGTGCCTGTAAGTAAACCTACAGGAAAGTCCTTCATTAAATAAATATAAGTGTAATAAAAGAAGTTCTCGGGAGAAAATCAATTTTATCCATAAAATCATCTTATCTTACTTGAATGTTGCATGTTAATGTCTTCAACGTCATGACGTCATTATTTGTAATTTTATAAAGTAGAAGGGGGCAGGTGCGAGTGTGCTCTGTTAAAGAGTTAATGCAATATAAAGTGTTATCCCTTATCCGAAATACTGCTATCCCACATTAGATCGTCATTAACAATAGTTAATGGAAAATAATGAACTCTGAAATAACACTTCATAGCTTGTGGTTTTATGAAGTGAGGAAAAGTTGTCCCATTTGTTATATTTCCATTCTACTGAGTAAATCTTGGACTGCTGGTGATAAAACCGGTTAAAAAATTGTTCCTCGCACCCATTCAAAAAGCGATAATTGGTAAAGTTTTTTACTATATTTTACATTGGATTTAACAAACGGTAACAAAACAAAAAGGTCTCAAATTTTAAATCACGAATGTGCAAGAATACTCCAAAACATAGTTGCTACAATCCTTTTAGTTTTGATTTAATAATTTTATATATTAATTAATCTACCATTGTTCATATCGATGACGTCATCTTATTTGCATATATTATGGTAAAATGAGATAAGCCTTCTTATTTTGTCTCCGACCAATGAAAATATTCGAAAAATGCTTTCAATTATAAATACACGTAATACACCTTAATAACTTGGAATTCCTTGTACCGGTATATTGTGTGGTTAGAACTTCCAATTTAAAGCTACGCTTAATAGATAAGCGATGGAAAGCCAAAAAAAAAAAAACAACAAAAAACACAAAAATTTGTTGTTATTGGAGAATAATGTGAAAATAGTTTTCAGTTGGTCACATAATTCATCAACTTCCCTCTAATGGCAATTGATGCTATTCATTTTCTTGGATAAGCATAAGAAAATTATTTAACGAAACTGTCGTTCTGAAAAGAAAGAGAAGCGGAAGATACCAAAGGGATATTCGAACTCATATGTAGAAAACAAACTGACAACGCTATTGAAAAAATGAAAAACTACCAAAAGACAAACCACAGTACACAAAACAAAACATAGAAAAATAGAATGAGCAACACGAACCCCACCAAAATCCGGGGTGATATCAGTTTCTCCGGAAGAAAGGGTTTCATTTACCGATAAAACTAACATAATTTTGAAGTGTTATTCTTATTTGAAAGGATTCAGAAGTTTCACTATTCCTACAATTTCGAGGCCAAAAAATTACTCTTACCATATCTTCCTTTTCAGGACTGAATCAAGGATGTTACTATATGTCCACGTTGTTATAATCAAATACTTTTTATATGTTTAATAAAACTTGGTTTGCTGTACCTCAAAATTCATACACTACAGGCCCTCTCATTAATCTGGTTATGAAGCTTCGCCTTACCAACGTAGCTAATACATCATCTGATGGTTTGAATACATGACTATAATATTTTTGTTTTGATCTTACAAATATACTTAAAACAGATGTCTGCAAAGCTTTATATGTACAATATTCATATATTTACTGTTGATCATAAATATGGTAAACGATTGTTGTTGTATCATGATTTTTTATTCATCATTTTAATTTATTGTAAGTTTCTTTGTTGTATTGTTTGTACTTTGTTAGTGAGTATTTTCTTTAATTGATTCGGATGTTCTATTGTTGGGTTTTTAAATGTTTTTGTTTGTTCTTTGTTTGTTTTGATTTTTTCAATAAAAATCAGCTAAATTATATATTCAATGCTTTTTAATTTATATAGTATAATAAGTACAAATAGATGTATAGTCATATGTCGACTAACAACTTTGAACACAAGTACAAATTCCTATGGCCATAGTCCGAATTCAGAGCGATTATGTCATTATGGTTACATATACATCTCATGCAGGCATGTGGGTTGTAGTATAAAAATGCAGGCAGTACAAATTAAATTATGTGACCTTCGCGAATTAAATAATATTACGGAAACTAGAAAAAGCCATGAAATTATAGAATAGTGAGTGCCCAGTAAATAATTGTATGAAAAAGGAGCCCCAAACTACTTTTGTAAATTATAGAAATAAATAAAGAAAAAAATAAGAAAGTTTTCAATTCTGTAGCTGTATTTGAGTGGATATTTTGAATTAACATTTCGTGTTTCATAGGCAATTGTATTGAATAATATTGATTGATTCTAGTAATATGTGCACAATGACTCCTTACGTTTCATCCTAAAAAAGATAATCATTTGTTTGGAATAATTTTAATAAAACGTTAACAAATCATAAATTATTTTTTAATACTATTATGTACTGAATCTGATCTATATAAGTTTAGCTAATATTCCATTCAAATAGAAATTTGCTTGTTCTGATACATTTGTAGCACACAAAAAAAATGACCTACAAATACCTCAAAATTATCTTCAAAAGTTCATGGTTTTGTTTTTGGAATACTAGATTAAAGTAGAAGGACCGGGGTTGGAGGCGGGGTATTTTAACTTCAATTAAAGAAGGATCACATTCACTAAGGGGCAGACAATTTGTCAGACGGACCCCTTACAGAAATGTCCCAAGTCTTTTTTCAACATTGTGAGGAGGTTCAAAGTTTAAGGCTTACACTATTATTAGTCTTAAATTTTTTTACTCTATCTATTGAAACTCCCTTTTTTTTTTTTTTTTTTCAAAATTTAACATTCAATCTGCAATCACATTTAGATATTATAGATAATTTCATGATAAAATAAGACGTTTTCGGATATAACTTATCAAAAGAACATATAATAATTCAAACATGGGGCATCGGATTCAAGGTCATCATTGCAAGCATATACATGGCTGCGCTTTTAAATATATTTAAACATCCTTCAACCCAAACATACATATCACAGTAAGTGTCGTACTGTAAAAAAACAAGTGAGGTAAAGATGACCAGTCGCTTTTTATCCTTTTTCGAAAAACTAAGAATTTTCTACCTTATAGGATTATATTACCTAGCTGTATTTGGCCAAACCTTTCGGAATCTTAGGTCCTCATTGCTTTTCAACTTCGAATTTGATTTGGTCTTTTAAACGTTTTTGATTGGACCGTCTATGATGAGTCTTTTATAGACGAAACGCGTGTCTGGCGTAAACATTTTTTATCCCGGTATCTATGATGTGTTTATTTACAGATACCTTAAGATTTGAATACAATGTATCCCTTTTTCCAAGGTACTCTAAGCTACAATCATGTATGTTTAGTAAGTAGCATTTTGGAGACTTTTTGCGTCTGTGGAATAAAGCATTTGTATTCAAAAGTAACAAAATAAAAAAACGATAATATCTGGAATTATCGATTAAAATTCAAATCTTCATAGATTACTACAACAACATAAGTAAAAGGGTATTTTTGACAACAAAATAATTATACTCTGGTGGTAAATCATCAGTTTATTTATTATCTAGTTGCCCTCAAACTATGGTTTTATTTTCTAATAAGCATTGGTTGTTCTGTGTGTGCCCTTTATTTTTTGGTGCTTTCAAAAAGTTTAAGTATTTGGCGTCTCATGCTTTTATTCTTCAGTATTTCTGTTGAAGATAATTCCAGAATTTCGTATCACGTTTAAAGAAATCGGTGACATGTACGTTTATATTCATACAATAAAGACAATCGAATTAAATTGGAAAATGTGTGAAAGACCACTTAAAAAAAATCAACGCTTTATCACTGCCATTTTTGCATTGATTTATTGCAGCTCTCTCTACATTAAATTTGAAATTGTTTTGAGAAAATATTCTGTTTAAACTTTGATGAAGTTTCTTTATTATCATGAATATAATGGGTATATGATTCAAACAACAGATGCTTTTAGTATTTATTGCTAATATGCAAACTCACCATTACTATAAATCGATAATACCTTAAAACATTGTATTTTTGATAATAGACACACTTGTTCGACTGAATACTTTATTTGTCAATGTAAACATACATTATATCTTTGAGTACTTCATTTATAGAATTCCAAGATTTCATATTTCAAATCAATGTTTAGAGTTTTTAAAGCTTTTTAAAATATTTTTAGCATTTGTTTGTTATACGTTTCAGCAAATATACTGATTTATGATTTATTTATGATTATTCAAGAAAATGAATATTTTATCGCATTTTAATTTGTAGGAAATCAATTTAAAGATCTTGCGACTTTTAATGTTTATGTTTGATTAATGGTTGTTTTTCATTTGTTGGTTGAACCATTTTATTATTGCAAAGTATATAGTTATGTCTACCT